AAAAAAGAGAGATAAAACAAAATGATATATATATTTTTAATTTTTTTTTCAGGAATATATATATATGTATTATATATTTGATTATATTATTATTAAAAAACAAAATAAACCGCTCTGATTTAGACAAAAGGAACACTAAACATAGCTGACTTAACTATTTTTTTTTCCCTGACTGAAATAAAGGAACACTAAACCATTCTGATTTATACAAAATGAACACTAAACAATTCTGATTTACACAAAAGGAATACTAAAGAGGGCCACACATCCCCTCCAAATCCGAAGATTTGTTTTTGACAGCCCATTTACACAAAACGGCGACAACTAGTTACAAAAGTGTATCACATCTTCACATGTCCTTCATGGTGGAAATGGGAGAAGAGGAGCATAATAATCAAAGTTTGTTAAGCGTGCTTGTAGTTTGGCAAGAATCTCATTCTTGCGCCGCTAGTAATAAACTTTCGCCTGAGGGTCCATGTTGGAAAGGTCCATCATCATAATCTTATCATCTCTCTCTTTTTCCTTGGTTTCTTTCTCTTCTTGTCCCATTTGATACATTTGCTCAATTACTTTAACTTTTCTTTCTTCTATTTCGAACTTCTTCATTCTACCCTTAGTTGTATTTTCGTTAAATTTTTCCATCAAATCACAAAAACGAGTGTCTAAAGTATCTGCTATCTTGTTTTTCCTACGTGCTTCTTTTACAGCTTTCCTTCCACTAGGCATTTTGGTTCTTGGGGAGTCAACAAATTTTTCGGTTGGATCTTGATCGAAATTAAGAAAAATGGGCGTCTCGGGAATTTGGGATGCGGAAGAGGAAAATGGGGAAGAGGAATATGGGGTCATTGTAGGAGACTTTGGCTTTTTGAAGGATCTCCAATCTTCCCACTTAATGGCATGTTCCAAGATCACCCAACAGTGATCCAAAGAAAAATATTTTTTCTCATTTGCATAATACAAACTTTTTCCTTGAAAAACCTAGAAAATGATATGAAACGAAATTAGATGTATAAATATTAAAATTACAACTAACAAGAAAAGTAGAAATCTCACCTTATCTGTTTCATTGATTACACTTTGTTGCCTATTTTCAATTTGTCTGAGGCACCCACTATATTTACCGCAACACTTCATGATTATGCCCCAACGAGATTGGATAGAATTCTACCATTTTCGTCGTTGTTGTGATCAAGATAATTTTAGAATATCCGATTCCAAAACTTACTTTGTGATTACGAGTTGCCAACAATTGGATCTTGGGTGATGCTGAACCAAGCATTGCAAATTGCTATATTTTGATCCGGCGTGAATGCCTTTCCCTACTTTGTTGATGATTGAGAAAGTTTCATTGATAGTTTTCAATATGCCAAATCAAAGCAAGGGTCTGTGAAAAAAAATGAACCTAAAATTAAACCTAATTTGGCTATGACAACTATTTCAATTTGGCTATGAACCTACTGATATTTTATATAGTAGGAAAATAGTCCATAACAACATATAACATTGTAACCTAAACCAACTTTTTATATAACTTATATTATATCCCTGCAAATCTTTTATTTATGTTTCAAATTCTATATAATATCAAGTTTTTCCTTTACCAGATCAAAAGGAACTGAAGGGCCTTTGTAGCCAGCTACAACAAATGGGAGAAGGAAGTGTGTGAAAGACTCAAAGTGCACCTGAATTCAATTGTGATGCATTCTTAACTAGTAAAAATTGCTTGGTATCTTATTGTGTGTAGAATTATATCGATTTAGTAAACGAGTTTGGCATTGGGTGTTATTGTTAGTGCTTTCGGTCTATATAGCCAAAAAAAATTCTTATGATAGGTTTTGCCCGTGGAGGCAGAGAACAACATTGCAAACTATATAAATTATGTGCTTATATATACAATGATAGCATATGTATATACACGAGGTGTATATAGACACACACATATATACCTTTATGTTTGTGCAAAAATCAGCTATGACTTTAAACAAAATACAATAACAATTATAATATTGAAAAAGAGAGTAAAAATCAATTACATAAGAGTAAATAATTGATTAATCAGATTATCTAACAAATCAAAATATGAAATTAGACAATCCAGCAAACAGCATAAAGATTTCAATTTTAAAAACTCCAAAACCAAAAAGCCATCAACGAAAGATCCCATTTATCAAAAATCATCATATAATATATCAAAAATAAAAGCCCTGGTCCAATGAAAAAATGCACAAAACAAGTAAAAACAACAACAAATCTAATAACCTAACATGAGGCTTTCATTCAACAAAAAGGAGTGGATAATTGATTAATCAGATTGTATATCTAACAAATCAAAAATTTGAAATTCGACAATTCAGCAAACAACATAAAGATTTCAATTTTGGAAATTCCAAAACCAAAAACCCTGAATTGATCAACGAAGGAGTCCATATATCAAAAATCATCATGTACTATTTTAAAAAGAAAAGTACTTGTTCGATATTCATTGGAGAAAATACATAAAACGAGTATAAACAACAACAAATCTAACAAGAACCTAACATGGGGCTTTCCATTCAACAAAAAAATCATAACGGCACAAGACTTACAGATATCAAATTTGTAATGGAGAAAACAATCTGCAAACGAACGCGATCAGCTTTCAACAAACCCTAGAAATAGCTTCCTTCTAGAGTTTCAAAGCGACGGAGGAGTGGTTATGGTGTAGGCGAGTTGTCTATGGTTTGAGGAGAGAGTGTGTGGTGTAGGAGAGAGAGAAAGGGGGGGAGAGAGGATGGCAAGGCTGAGGTCGAGCTCTGATCGGGATGCTGGTGGTGGGGTTTGATCGAGAAGTAACAGCCATTCTCTTCTTTCTCTCTCTCTATTGCCCTACATAGGAACGAAATATCAGAAATAGCAAATGCCATTTCTTGTGCTAGATTGGCAAAGTTAAAATTTAGCAGGCTAAATGACAGCCCATTAGAGAGCCCATTTGAAGCCCATCTGCTATATTTTACAAATAGCAGCCTAAATAGCATTGGGTTGGAGATGCTCTAATGATATATCCAAGATCTTCATGGCTCCAAAATCTTGCCGGCCCCCGCACAATAGCAAAAAAATAGTAGTTAGGAATGGTAGTTGAAAAAAAAAATAGTGGTTGCGTCAAAAAATAATATTTTGGATAAAATGCACAATTGGAGCAGAATTGCTAAAAAATAACATTTTGACACTGTATCAACTCTTAAAATATAGTTTTGGCATGCAAAAATAGCTTTTTGCATTGGAGATGCCCTTAGAAAGGATGAATGTAAGATTTTTGAAAATTTTCACTTGAGTGTAATTAGGTCAGATCTGAAGATCAGTGTATTTCAACAACCACCCTATTTTTTTTTTGGGTTAATTACAATGACACCCCCTGAAGTTTGTCATATTGACAGCCATATACAACTTAGCCGTTTTTTAGACAAAAACACCCTCTTAAGTATAATAAAGTTAACAAAGACACCCCTTTAAGTTTAATAAAGTTAACAAAAACACCCCAATGGTCCTTGCACAAGGTGAATTGACATTACTGTCCTTTGACACATTCTATTACCAATTTATCTAATACAATTATTTTTTTTATTGACCAAAATGTCCTATCACTACCCCCAATCTCCACCACCATCATGCCACTACCTTCACCCTCACTGTCACAGGGTCGACCATCACCCACAAGAAAACAGACAATTTCCCCCACCATCACCTAGAATCACAACCACGACCCATCATTGGCAGCTTCACCACCGTCACCCCCCACAATTACCCACAAGAAAATAGACAACCTCCCCACCATCACCCACGGTCCCATAATCACAACCACCACCCATCATTGCCATCTCCACTGCCGCCTACCCCTTTTTTATCACTATCCACTCACCATCGCAGCCTCCACCCCACAACCACCACCCACTATAAACCACCGTACACAACCTTCACCATCTACAACCAAGAAAAAACCCTAACCCAATCTCACCAAATCCAATCCAAAAATTGTAAGACCTAATCGCAAAACTCAATCTAATAAACAGTGGCTGAGAGTGTCCGAAAATTTCGTCGCTTCGGATCACCATTCAATGACAACATAACACAACAGATCCAACCCAATTTCGCCCAATCTGAAGCGTTACACCCTAAAATAACATCGTCGGCCTCAAGGTGACCTCCATTGCCTTTGCTAATGACTTCATCGGCCAAGCTAGTTATCACTGCTTATGATAGCCTGAGCAAGTTGTTGGACTATACAGTCAAAGCTTCAATGTCATTCGAACGGTGCGCCGTCGATGGCAAGCCGAGCTTGGACCTGGTGATGAGCTTGCACGTAATGGTGGCTATTTTATGTAGTTGGTGAGGTTTGAGGAGCCGATTTCGGCATTGTAGAGGGTGATTAAGGTTCTAAATGTGCCAATTTTGTTTAGGTATTGACCTATTTTAGCATGGTGGTAGTTGTGGCAGGGAGTGGTGGCCGTCGTGGTTGGGGTAATGGCTTTCGGAGGTTGAGATGAGAGGGAGAACAAATAGAGGGAAGAAGGGAGGAAAGAGAACATGACGGCAGCTGTTGTTGGGGAAAGGCGACGACGACGGCTGTTGTTAGGGAGAGGTGACAACGGCGGATCAAGATGGTGGCGACGGATGTGGATGGGGCGGTGGCAGAGGTGGAGGAAGGAGGCGGTGAGATATAATAGCCATATACAACTTATATAATTTTTATATGATGGTGCTGATGTAATTGTGTGTATATATATAAGGGTAATTTTGACTTTTCATGAATTCTGATATTTTATCCAAAAAATGAATTAAATGTTGAAGGGCAATCTCGTCTTTTCAAACATTTTAAGGGTTTGTTTGGATCAAAATTCTCAAGGAGAGGGTCTTCGTCCAAAAAAAAATTGACCATATCGTATGTGACAATCAATTTGGCAAACCTCAGGGTCTCGTTGTAATTAACCCACCTTTTTTTAATAGCAAATTTAAACAGAACGGCACCCATTTCATTTCCGGGTCACTTTGTTCTCTTTCGTCTCGGCCAAATTGGAAGCAGTAGTGTGATATCAGCGACAGGCAATCAGCCATATAGCTCTGGGCGTCGTAACTCTCTCGATAGTACTGTGAAGTTACGTGGTTGCTGCAAGAAAGTGCATATAATGGGCGTCCGTACTATATCTCAGGAAGGGTTCGATGAGATGGTGAAAGAGAACATGGATGACCTCGGAATGGACCCCACCGAAGCCCTTCAAGATGCCATCGAAACCCTATCTCTCCAAGGCGTCGATCTCTCTGGTTCGTTGCTTGCATTACTTGAAATTAATTACTAGTTGGTATTGTATACTAAAGTTTTGTGTTTGAGAGAATTAAAATTAACTAAATTTCCTCTGCTCCCAAATATAGCAGTTAGATCTTCCTTCTTCTTCTTCTTCTTCTTCACACAGGTATTGTTACTTGCCCAGTCAAAGACAACCCAGTAATCCAGTGCTTGGATAGATTGAAACAACTCAATTCTGATTGGACGACGGATGATCATCTTGACCAAGAGATGATGACGGCGATGCTCAACAAGTTAACTGATTTGTGTTTGGTTGATGGATCTGGGAATGCAGCCATAGCCACCAGAAATGGAGGGCTCGAATTGCTTTCCTCACTTTGTTCAAAGTTTGGAGCGGGGTGCGAAAAGGTTCTTGTTTCAGCCTTGAACGCAATGGCATCTCTTCTTCATGGTAAATAATCCCACCACATTGTATACATACATATATATTTATTTATACTTATCAATATATGTATATATTTATTTATTTATGTGTTTTCTCTTATCAATTGTGTGTTTTGTCATTTGTCTCAAGTTTTAGCAGATTTAAATTGGCAATGCCAAAAAGGAAAAGAAAAATGTTGAAATGAGTTCTAGGCCTCTATGCAATATGAATTACAAGATATAATGCTCTCTTTCTAAGTCAAGGATGGTATCATATACTACATCATATGATATGTTGAATAATTTGGAAACAGATTTAAAATGATACTTACAAAAGTAAGTATATAATTAATTCCTATAAAATCTGTAAGATTTAACAGTGTATGAATTTTTTGGGGATTTAATTGTCCAATGAGTGAGATACTTGCTTTATGTTCACTATTGTCTTTCTTTGACTCCCACTTAGCTAGTATTGATCCTTTTTGAAGAGGAGTGATCCGTTAACAAGTTTGTATGTTCAAAAAAGTTGTTAATTTGGGTATATGGCCTAGATTTACACTTTTAAACTATATATAGAGACTTAGCGATTTTATATGTGCGTATGGTGAATATACTAGACTTTGAGAGCATATGAGAGATATCTTTGTGGGACTTTTGTGGGTATTCTTCGTTTGATTGCGTTCAAACTTTTAGGGTTCTTAGCCTTTTACACACTTTTGATCTGAGAGTTTGTGAGAACACTAATATTGTGAAATAATGGGAATATTATTATTTATTTAGCAATGTACAGGGAAAAAACATTTAGGCAAACAACAGCCTACAAATTTGGAATTTTGACTCCTAGAATACAAGCCCTATAAATCAGGGATATTAGCTAGTAGAATAAACATTCTAATTACAGGACATATATACAACTGTAATACACGTTTTCTCCCCATCTAGTGAGCTGTAAAATTTGCACAACCTATTCATACTATAATTACTGATTCTAACACTCCCTCTCAAGCTTGTGAGTGGATATTTTCCATTCTCAGCTTGCTAACAATAGACTGAAATGCAGAACCACTCAATCCTTTAGTTAACACATCTGCATGTTGACCCTCGGTTGACACAAATGGTGTACAAATTAGTCTGCTATCCAACTCTTCTCCTTTATAAAATGTCTGTCTACTTCCACATGCTTGGTGCGGTCATGTTGCACAGGGTTATGTGCAATATTAATTGCTGATTTGTTATCACAATATAGCTTCATAGGTCCTTCCCATGCAATCTTTAGATCTTCCAAAATTATTTTCAACCATAAAAGCTCACAAACTCCTAATGCCATAGCTCTGAACCCAGCTTCTGCACTTGACCTTGCAACTATATTTTGCTTCTTGCTTCTCTACGTTACAAGGTTTCCTCCGAGGAATGTACAATAGCTTGAAGTCGATCTTGTGTCATCAACTAATGCGGCATAATCTGCATCCGTGTATGCTTCCAATGTCAATTCATTTCCTCTTCTAAACAACACTCTCTTTCCTGGAGTACCTTTCAAGTACTGTAGAATTCGATATGTTGCTTGAAGATGTACTTCTTTTGGATTGTGCATAAATTGACTCACCATTCCTACAGCATAGTGTCACGCCCCGCCCATGGAGGTTGTACCACGCAAGCGACACGCAGACGCTGAGGAGGACGCTGCATGGCAACTGCATGGCAAGTGGAGTTTCTAGAGTCTTCCGGAGTAGTCTAGAGTTGTGTGGAAGATTCTAGATATGTGTAGTATATTCTAGAAGCATGTGGAAGGTTCTAGAATTCTCCAGAATTGTGTGGAGTAGTATGGAGGGTTCTAGAATGTTGTAGATATGTATGGAGATGTGTGGAAGGTGGAAGAAGATTCTAGAGAACAATTTCCACCGTTGGTTAGAATGCATCCTAGCCATCCATTAGGGATGGGGATGCCTATAAATAGGAGTAGGACTTCATTTTGCAAACAATAAGTCCTAGAGTGAGTCTTGAGAGCCTTGCAGAGAGTTTGAGTGCTAGCCTTGTACAAAGCATTCTTTGAAGTAATAGAAGTGTTCTTTCCTTGCCAACTTAAGTGCCTTAGTGTGTGTGAGTGTGCAAGCCAAGTGAGGAGAGGGCGAGGGCCACTACAACACTAGTAAGCACACGAGGGGAGTGTGTTGGCTAAGGTGTGCACGGAAGTTAGGCTGACCAAGTCCTTGCGAGAGTAGAAGCAACGCCTTGGTGCCGCACGGGAGTAGCTAGAGTGGTGCTGAAACTCTAAGCCCGTGACAGTTGGAGACGCCCACGCTGTGATAAGGGCAAGGATCATGGAGAAAGGTCTAAGGCTAGTGGAAAATGGGAGCGCCGCGATAAGGGCAAGTGGGAGCCGAAGTGCTACTTGTGCGAAGGGCCGCACATATTGCGACACTGCCCCAACAAGAAGACCATGAGCGCCCTTGTGAAAGATAAGGGCAAGGGCAAGGTGGATGATACGGGCAGCGACGAAGACAGGTGCATGGGGGCAATGCAGATGCTGAGTAGCATGGCGCATGACACCAAGAAGAAGGGCAAGGCGAAGAAAGTAGTTGGGGTGCGCTATGTGGATGCGCAGGTTGGTGGCAAAGCCGTGCAAGCGTTGGTGGACACGGGCGCCACACACAACTTCATTACCCCAGAGGAGGCGCAACGACTTGGCTTGGAGATGCGCAAGACGGAGGGATGGATCAAGGTCGTCAACTCCGAGGAGGCACGCGTGAGTAGAGTGTGCAAGGAGGTGAAGCTATACATGCAAGGATGGAAGGGCAAGGCCGACTTCCAGGTTGCGGAGATGGACGACCATGACATGGTGCTGGGGTTGGAGTTCATGGACAGGAACAACGCCGCGCCACTACCATGCCTTGGTGCGTTAATGATACTTGGAGGTGAAGAAGGCAAGGCCGCATGCATGGTGCCGCTCGTGGGCAGGAAGGAGAGTCCAGAGGTGGCAGTCAACACGATGGAGTTCGTGAGGACCTCACATCTCCCAAAGGGCGCTCGTACGTTTGGGGCAAGGACATATGCGCAAGTGTTGATGACCTGCGAGAGGCTGGGTCAGCTGAAGAAACTGTGATGAGGGCGTCACGGAAATGGGTGGGGGAGAATGTCACGCCCCGCCTATGGAGGTTGTACCACGCAGGCGACACGCAGACGCTGAGGAGGACGCTGCATGGCAACTGCATGGCAAGTGGAGTTTCTAGAGTCTTCCGGAGTAGTCTAGAGTTGTGTGGAAGATTCTAGATATGTGTAGTATATTCTAGAAGCGTGTGGAAGGTTCTAGAATTCTCCAGAATTGTGTGGAGTAGTATGGAGGGTTCTAGAATGTTGTAGATATGTATGGAGATGTGTAGAAGGTGGAAGAAGATTCTAGAGAACAATCTCCACCGTTGGTTAGAATGCATCCTAGCCATCCATTAGGGATGGGGATGCCTATAAATAGGAGTAGGACTTCATTTTGCAAACAACAAATCCTAGAGTGAATCTTGAGAGCCTTGCAGAGAGTTTGAGTGCTAACCTTGTACAAAGCATTCTTTGAAGTAATAGAAGTGTTCTTTCCTTGCCAACTTAAGTGCCTTAGTGTGTGTGAGTGTGCAAGCCAAGTAAGGAGAGGGCGAGGGCCACTACAACACTAGTAAGCACACGAGGGGAGTGTGTTGGCTAAGGTGTGCACGAAAGTTAGGCTGACCAAGTCCTTGCGAGAGTAGAAGCAACGCCTTGGTGCCGCACGGGAGTAGCTAGAGTGGTGCTGAAACTCTAAGCCCGTGACAATAGGCTATGTTTGGTCTCGTATGAGAAAGATAGATTAGTTTGCCAACTAATCTCTGATAGGATTCTCTATCCACCACCGCATCTTCTGGAGTTTCCTAAAGCTTATGATTTCATTCAATGGGTGTCTCCACTGGTTTACACCCTAGTTTCCTTGTCTTAGTTAATAAATCCAGCACATATTTCTGTTGGGATATAAAGATCCCATGTCGAGAGTGAGCCACTTCAATGCCGAGGAAGTATTTTAACCTGCCGAGTTCTTTAATCTCAAACTCTTGCAATAAACACCTTTTCAATGCCTCCATCCCTTGCAAGTCATCCCCTGTTACCACTATATCATCCACATAGACTAATAGAGCTATAACTTTCTCTAAAGCAGAATGTTTGACAAACAATGTGTGATCACCCTGACTTTGTTTATAACCCAAAGCTTTCATTACGCTAGTAAATTTGCCAAACCAAGCCATGGGAGACTATTTTAAGCCATAAAGTGCCTTTTTCAACTTACACACCTTATTCTTCTCTGACTCAAAACCTGGAGGAACCTCCATATAGATTTCTTCATCAATATCACCATGTAAAAAGGCATTTTTTACATCAAACTGCTGCAAACTCCTGCAAACTCCAGCCATGATTAGTTACTAAAGATAATAGGATTCTTACAATATTCATTTTTGCAATAGGAGCAAATGTTTCAAGATAATCTATCCCATAGGTTTGAGTATACCCCTTAGTTACTAACCTTGCCTTGTACCGTTCAAGTGATCCATCTGCCTTGTACTTCAAATGAAGACCCATTTACATCCCACTAGCTTCTTTCCTTGAGGCGGTTCCACCATGTTCCATGTTTTGTTCTTCTCAAGTGCATCCATTTCAACCTTCATAGCTTCTTTCCACTCTTTACTTCCCAATGCTTTAGAGATAGTTTTTGGGATAGTAATAGTATTGAGGTGGATAAGAAAACTTTTATGACCATTAGACAGCTTTTCATAGGACACAAAGTGAGACAATGGATAAATAGGCCGCTGAGTACACTTCCTAACACCCTTTCTAATTGCAATAGGAAGATCATAATCATCAACAACAGGCCTATTACTTTCATAATCTTCAGAATTAGGAGTTACCTTAATATTATCAGCACCAGAGATTGGTTCAGAATCAAGAACTTGCATTGATTGAACAAGGGGTTCTTTCCTCCTTGAATATACTTGCAATGGGCGAGTAGCACTTTGAATCTGTTTACCCTTTGCACTGGACTAGGAGTACTTGGTAAAGGAACGGAAACGGATGATGACGGATTGGACAATGACGGATTTTGATTTTGTGAGGATGGGAAGGATGAAAGATCAAGCAAAAACAAATCCCTATCCTTATCTTCCATAAATAATGTCTCCCCCTGAAGATAAGGATTTGGAAAGTAATTCTTAGTTTCAACAAATGTTATATCTACAGAGACAAAGAATCGTTTTGTTGGAGGATGATAACACTTGTACCCTTTTTGTGTAGAAGAATATCCAACAAAAACACACTTAAGAGCCCTTGGATCAAGTTTCTCACGGTTATTTGAATGAATATGAACAAAGGACACACACCCAAAGATCCTAGGAACCAGGTGATTTGTTGTTTTGAAGTCAGGGAAAAAATTCGAAAATAGTTGTATGGGGCTGTTATAATCCAGAACCCGAGTGGGTAATCTATTAATCAGATGTGTAGCGGTTAAGACAACTTCTCCCCAATAATTTTTTGGAACATTTTTTTTGGAAACAAAAGGCACAAGTAACAGCTAGAAGATGACCATTTTTCCGTTCTGCCACTCCATTTTGTTGTGGTGTGTTGACACATGAAGACTCATGAATGACTCCAATGACTCCTTTTTCTTTGAAGAATGGTGACAACACTTGATTAAAGTAATCCCTAGCATTATCAGATCGAACTCTTTTTCTCTCAACCCTAAATTGGTTTTTCACCATGTGGAAAAATTTTTGAAAGGTGGAACTGACATCTGATTTTTGTTTTAAGAGAAAAACCCATGACACACGAGTACAATCGTCAATAAATGAGACAAACCATCGAGCCCCAGAGATATTATGTACTGTACAAGGTCCCCAAACATCATTGTGAATTAGAGTAAAAGGTATTGAAGATCTTGTATCACTTATTGGAAAAGAAACACGTTTATGTTTTGCAAGTTCACAAACATCATAATGAAACATACCCAAACCAAATCCTTTAAACAAACCAGGAAACATTATTTTAAGAATACTGAAAGAAGGATGACCAAGACGAAGATGATATAACCATATTTTATTTTTATTGGAAAGAGAAGACTCAGAAAGCAGAGACAACGGAATAGGATCCTTAGTGCTATTTTTCCCATCAGGTTCCTCAAGAAAGTAGAGCCCATTCCTCTCCTTAGCAAGTCCAATCATCGTTCCCGTGCTCTGGTACTGAAATTTACATAGTGCAGAAAAAAAGGTTACCATACAGTTCAAATCCTTTGTAAGCTTGTGAATTGAAACTAGGTTGGTAGACAATTTTGGCACATGCAGAACATTTTTTAAAACAAAGTCCTGATTTATAACTATATTCCCTCGACCAGCAACTGTAACCAGTGTTCCATCTGCAGTAGCAATTTTCTTATTACTAGGACAAGGACTGTAAGAGACAAACCCATGAGATGATTGGGTCATATGATTCGTAGCCCCCCGGAATCCACTACCCAAGTTCCTTTTGAGATCGACACATTAAGTGCATAGGGCTGAGAGTTACCTGAAAAAGCCAAGGAACAAGTACCTGCACCACTCGTAGGTTTCTCTAATGTCCCCAGAAATATCTCAGCTTCTCAATCTCTTCTCTATTGAACTTGGATCGCTCCTTAAAGAATTCTCCTTCTCCTCCTAATTGTGCCGAGGTCAAATATGCCTATCCTTGCCCTACTCCTTAACTACTCTTTGCTGTCCAAGAAGTATTTAGAGTATTTGAGGGCTTACCATGGAGTTTCCAGCACCTCTCCCTGCTGTGTCGCGGCTTCTTACAGTAGTTACACCATAAAGAGTCTTTATTACCTGCTCTTGATCCTTCTGACAGCCCATTATTTCCTCCTACTCCATTGGAATAGGCATTCGACTGTTGCTGGTCTGATTTCACATCTCTTGGATTTGCAGCTTTTGTAACCAAGGCTGAACCATCTGCCAATTGAGGCTCTATCGTAACTCCTCTTCGTCCTTCACCTCCATGAATTATGGCAATTGTTTCATTGAGTGAAGGAATTTCTTCCTTTCCTAACACTTGCACTCGGACAAGATCGAACTCAATGTTCAATCCGGCAAGAAAGGTGTAAATTCTCTCTTTTTCCATATAACGTTTAAGAAGGGCTGCATCATAGCTGCACTTCATCTCAATACACTGATAATGATCCAATTCTTTCCATAAGTTTTGTAAAGTCTGAGCATATTTAGTGACCGGTTACCTTGTTTGGTAGATGAGATTTTTGTCTTAATCTCATAGATTTGTGCAGCATCTTGGACTTCAGAATATGTCTGCCTGCAGGACTCCCAAATCTCCTTTGCTATTGTAAAAAACATACAAGTATTGTCGACTTCTGGCATCATCGAATTCCATAACCAGGACATCACCATCGAGTCTTCTTCATCCCACGCAGCGTACTTCGGATCATCCGGTTTTGGTCCCTTCCCAAGAAGATGACTCAGTTTGCCCTTCCCTTTCAAGAAGGTTCGAACAAACTGAGACCACTTCAAATAATTTTTTCCATTGAGACGTAAACCTGGTTGAATATTCTGCAACTCTCCTGCTGCAGTGTTGATGACTTCATTAGAGATTTGCTGATTGATAGATTTGGAAACCTCAGTCATGATTTTAGACAGAAGTGGAAAGAAATCTGGGCTCAAGAAGACTGATTTGAAAAGGAAAAAAATGGTTCTGGAAAAAATGGCAAAGCAGGCTGGGAAAAACAGAACCAGAAGAAGAAAAGAAAATGGCAGTTTAGGCCAGAAAAAGAAAAAAACTGGAACCTTTTTCCAGAAACCTTTTTTGCGGCAATGCAGGCCACAAATTTACACGGATTCCCAGAGAGCATTTAACTCTGATACCATCTGAAATAATGGGAATATTATTATTTATTTGGCAATGTATAGGGAAAAAATATATAGGCAAACAACAGCCTGCAAATTTGGTATATTGACTCCTAGAATACAATCCCTATAAATCAGGAATATTAGCTAGCAGAATATACATTCTAATTACAGGACATATATACAGCTGTAATACACGTTTTCTCCCAATCTAGTGAGCTGTAAAATCTGCACAACCTATTCATACCATAATTACTGATTCTAACAAATATCATGCGTTCAGAGTTGTCCCACGATCACCAATAAAGGCATGGAGAACAACTTGAAGCGAAGCTGATTCAAAATATACGACAGGCTTGTGGTGGATTGGAGCTTATAATTACTATGACAGTAGGTGATAACGAGATTTAGGCGAAAGACTTGGATGTTGGCAACAACCATGCTTGTGGGAGACTAGTGAGAACTAGACATAAAGTTTAAGGCTTCAGCAGCAACTGAGTTTTGGCTTGTAAGCTTTCTTTTCATATAGTCGAAGACTAGCTCGGCACTGCAATCTCCAGTTTTTTCCCCAATTGGGGTTTCCAATGTAAAAATTGCTTGTCTCTCTTTACTTCTTATTTATTTATTTATTATTTTTAAATACTTTACTTTTGCTTTGTGTCCTGATTGATTGAATTCCATAAAGTTTGCTTAATTTGGTTAATTGAGAATTTATTAATCGAAAAAAGAAGTCAGGATCTAATCACACTGTCCTTTAGGTCTATTAAATTTGTGAATACATATACTTCCAAACAACATTTACTTGTTATCAAAGCTTCCATTGTGCAACTCTCAAAAGGTTTTGTGTAACATGTGCAATTTTGTCATTTGCAGATGTTCAAAGCACTAACACATTTCAGAAGATTGGTGGATCAAAGATTGTGGTGGACATCCTAATTCATGGGCATCGAGATTTTAACATCTTGAATAGTGGTTTTTCTGTTGTTGCTGCTGCTGCAACTGGCAATGAGATTCTTAAGGAGTCATTCATGGACCTGAAAATCGATGAGCTCATGATCCAATTTTTGAGGGAGCACCAAAACGGGAGCATCCATAGCCTATATGATGCTATACGTGTCTTATTAACACCTGATGATAATCGTGTTGTAGCTTCCCAAGTAAAAACCATTGAATGCACATTTTGCTGACCTTAAAGATCATATAATGATAGATTCAACATAAAGATCTTTCATAGGGTTTATTTTGCCCCGTAGGGTGGGTCTGAAAGATCAAAACTCATTAGCTGCATCTTCATGTGACAAATTGTAGGTTTATGGTTATGCCAGAAGATTTGCAAAAATTGGAATTGCACAAGCTCTTGTGGAAGCACTTCATGAAGGACTCAGTTCACCAGGTCTAGTATCAGCTAGCATTGCTTTAAAAGCTGTTGCTGTCAATGTAAGTTTGCTCCTACATATGGAGGTGTTTGTGTTGAACAGATAATCTTGCATGAAATCTCGGATTTATTTTGTTTAAGCTTTTCATCATATAGTGGGTTTTTTGTTGATTCAAAACTTGCTATCTCTCTCTCCTGCCACTGTTATTCTTATGTGTTTTCTTATTTCTGTTGTTCTTGTTAGTCAAGTTGTATTATGCTTTAACATCAAAACTTCTCTTGCCTTGGCAGTGTGCCAACTTGGCACCAACTATTTGGAATATGTTGAAGGATTTAAATATTAAAGCAGGCAATATCCTGATTTCAAACCTTGCCGTTACCTTGATAATTAAAAATTGAAAAACGTGCTGGACCAAAAGAAGGCCACACTGAGGGGGTGTGTTGAAGGATTTATATATTTAAGTTACACCCTCTCTAATAGCTTAAGCTTTTGGAGTAGATGGTTGTTAACATAATCAATATGTAATAATATGAAAAAGTTTATAAACAAGTATCCAGGAAACTGGAGGAAACTGTTGGGTTAACATCTCCGTAACTATGATACTACTACAGTGCGATGACAACTAGAGTTGGGAGTATCTTTGAGAAGAAAATGACTTTCAAAATTTTCTTCTATCAGATTTTTATTTTGGCTCATTGGTTCACTTTTGTTGACTTAGTGGCTGTTTCTTTCTGCAGGATGAAATATGTAGATCGATTGCCGAAAACGGTGGTGTAGATGCAGTTCTCAAATGTATTGATGATAGTGCTGAACAGGGAAACAAAACTGTAGCTAGAGCTTTCTGTTCTTTATTGTCGAAGGTCAACTCTGAAACCATCACTTCTATTCAAGTTTTGACATATTTATACATCATTTATATATATTTTTGATAAGTAATAATCGATTAGAAAAGCGTTCAAAAGGGGAACGCGTCCCTAATACAAAAACGGAATCTGAACCTAAGGACCTATAGAGTCCAAAAGATCAACTAAGTCATCAGTAGAGGAGCAAGTGCTTCCTTTCACATAACAAAAAATAGAGCGAAGAATATGAAGTTTCAAGTTTGCTATTCCTCTCTTTCCATATGCACCACCAAACACTGTGTGGAACTATCCTCCAATAATCGCGAGCGTGGCTTCTCACTAGGCATCATCTCCACGCGTTAATCAGTCATTTGGAAGACTGAGGCATTACCCAATGTATGCCAAATAAGCCGAAGATGAGGTTCCAACAATTGTACACCACAGGACAGTGCATAAGAATGTGATCCACAGACTCACCATCTCGTTTGCACAGACAACACCAATTAACGATAGTATTGCTTCTCTTCCTCAAATTGTCTAGTGTCAAGATCTTACCCCAGACGGCAGTCCACACAAAGAATGCCGCTCTAAGTGGAGCCTTGGAGCGCCATGTAGTCTTCCATGGGAAAACAGGACCAACAAAGTTGGAAAGGCATAGAAACATGGACCGGACACCAAATCTTCCATGGGAGGAAGGAACCCACAAAATGTTATCACTACCTCTCCCAACTTCCTCCTGTTGATACAACATATCCAGAAAGGCACATACCTCATCCATCTCCCAATCCTGAAAAGAACGCCTAAAGCGCACATCTCACGTTATCCCACTGCTATAAAGCCAATAATAGTCAGCTACGTAAGCGTGTCTATCGTCGGCTATACTATAAAGTCTAGGAAAGGAGCAAGACAACAATTGATCTCCACACCATAAATCCTCCCAAAATCGGACACGTCTACCATCGCGAACCTTGAATCTGATATGGGAACAGAAGACATTCTAACCCTTCCAAATGAATCTGATAGAGACTGGACGGGAAGACCAACCACTGCTCTCCTCCCCAAAACGACACGAAACAATCCTTCTCCATTGGCGATGTCGTTCCCTATTGAATCTCCACAACCACTTTCCTAAAAGAGCTTTGTTAAAGGGAACCAATTTTCGGATACCTAGACCGCCGAGCTTTAAGGGCTTGCAAACTTGCTCCCATTTGACAAGATGATACTTGAACTCCTCTCCTCTTCCACCTTGGAGAAAGTCCCTTTGAACTTTTCAATCCTTTCGGCGACAGAGCATGGGATTTGAAATAGAGATAAAAAGTAAGTGGGAAGGGACGAGAGAGTGCTCTTAATAAGAGTGACCTTCCCCCCCTTCAACAGATATTACTTCTTCCATCCTGCCAACCTCTTTTCAAACCTATTAATTACAGGATCCCAACTCCCCACCCTCTTAGAGGAGACCCCCAAAGGCAGTCCCAAATAAGGAAGAGGAAAAGCACCCGCCCCACACCTAAGAAAAGCAGCTAAGGAGGTAAGGAGGAAATATCCTGAACATCCCCAACCGGGACAAGCACACTTTTTCCAACATTGATCTTTAGCCCAGAAATTGCTTGGAAACAAACAAGAATGCATCTCAAATATCTAAGTTGGGAAACATTGGCATCATAAAAGATCAAGGAATTGTCCGAAAATAGCAAATGAGAGATCTCCATCTGGTGAGCTACATTTCTGCCCACTCTGAAGCCCCTGACCCAAATCCTCCACTCTCCTCATTAGTCTGCTCAAATCCTCCATGATGATGAGGAAGAGAAAAAACGATAAGGGGTCTCCTTGCCTCAACCTCGAGAACTCGTAAAGAAAGCAGGAGAACCGTTCACGAGAACAAAGAACTTGACGGACGAAATACATGTTTCGATCCATTTCCTCCACCTACTTCCAAACCCCATCCTCTGAAGCAAGTAAAGAAGGAAATTCCAATTGACGTAATCATAAGCTTTTTCAATGTCAAGTTTGCATAAGACGCCAGGGACCCCACTCTTCAACTTGGAGTCTACACATTCGCCTGCTATAGGAACAGAATCCAATATCTGCCGTCCTTCGACAAAAGCATTCTGGGAATCCTAAGAACAAGAACCTTGGCAACGAACTTGTAAATGCATCCCACTAAGCTAATTGGTCGAAAGTCCTTGATATTAGAAGCGCCACCCTTCTTAGGAATAAGGCAATAAAAGAGGCGTTTAATGACTTCTCGAAAACGCCATGAGAATGAAATTCCTGGAAAGTACCCATCACCTCAATTCGCATCACCTCCCAACTCTCTATCAGAAACCACATAGTAAACCGGCCCCGGAGCTTTGTCACCGTTGCAACTCGATAAAGCCTTCAACACTTCCTCTTCAGAAAATGGGACCTCAAGCCTATCTCTATCCAACTCAGAAATATCATTGAAATGGAGACCGTCAAGCCTAGGTCTCCACCCCAACGTCTCAGTGTAAAGCTTTTAGTAAAAGGAAATAACCCCCCTGCGCACCTTATCCTCTCTCCACAGCTCCAAACCATCCACATGGATTCGCCCAGTATGATTACTCCTTTTGTGAGCATTAGCAAGCTTGTGAAAGAATTTCGTACTACGGTATAGGCCTAGATTTTTGGCGCCACAAAATCTCCTGCATATTAGCGATCTTAGCAAAAACCGCCTGATAGGAAGCTCTCCTAGAGCGTAGAGACTCCACATCCCGCCCCAACTCTTTAAGACGATCAATCTCAGCGAGGTCAGCAAGAACTCTATTTTTCCTCCATTTAAGATTCCCGAACACTCTTTGTTCCACCTCTTAAGCTCAGTTTTGAGGGTCTGAAGCTTCCTGGCGAACACAAAACTGAAGGAACCTGTGGCCATCGCCTCCTCCCACCAAGATTGGACTTTCCCTTGGAAATCCTCTGATCTCAGTCACATATTCTCAAAGCGGAATGGGGTACACCGAGATCTCAGAACCCCCGCAATCTAGAAGTAAGGGAACATGATCAGAGGTCACCCTTGCAAGAGCCGCCTGAACAACATCCGGGAATTTCTCTTCCCAGTCCCCAGAAATCAAGAATCTGTCCAGCCTTGATAACCATTAGACTAAGTAAAGGCTGCCCCTTTCATTGGCAAATCAAAAAGAAAATGACTATCAATAAAATATGAAAACTGGGTCATCTCAGGGGACCACCTACCCCCTGTGGATCTCTCAAACGGAGACCTAACAGAATTGAAGTCCCCACTTAGGCACCAAGGAAGAGACCACAGTCCCTTAATGTGGCAAAGCTCCTCCAAAAAGGAAGGTCTTTCACTGTCGATAACTGGCCCGTAGACCCCAGAAAATACCCATCTGAAATTGTCCTCCTCCATCTTGAACACACAGGACAAAGAGTAACTCCCCTTCCATATGTTCATCCTTGACAGCCACCTGCAATCCCACATAACTAGGATTCCGCCAGAGGTACCTGAAGCGTTCAGTGCTTCCCAATCCACAAACCTTCCTCCCGAAGACTCCTAACCACCCTGTCAGTAATAGAGGCCATCTTGGTTTCTTGCAAACAAACGACATGGGCACTCCACTTCCTCACAGCTACCTTGACCACCCTCGTTTTGTCCGGATCATTGAGACCAATAACGATCCAAGTGATAATTCGTAGCTTCATTAAAAACTATAAACAATCATCTCCCCTCCTCCCCTTTTCCCACTTATGGTCCTTCCCCTTTCCCTCGCCACCCCATCCTTCCTTTCATAGTTGACATAAGAGATGAGATTCTTGACCTCCTGCTCCCCTTTCCAAGACGTTAAAGGTCTCCTACTTTTAACCTCTTTTGTGCCCTGCATATTCCTTGCAACCTCTCTCCCTTGCATAATTGCAAACTCTCTGATGAGACACTTAGCGCTTCACTAGCAACACTGATATTGTGCACTGTTGAGGCTTTTATTTTCCGATGAATCAGGGGCAGAGATGAAAGGCCCTGTTGTGTTTGTTTTACAACAACACATATCGTGTCAAAAGTCATGTCTTTCATGCTTGTACCTCTCTTGCCTACGCTAGTCTGCTTCCATCTCGTTTTCTCCGCCATTGACCAATTTCTTCGTACAGATGGATGAAATGCAAAAGAGTTGCGCTTTGATAAAGGATGGACGTGAGCATGGGCTGAGCTTCCTCCACTGGACCTTAACAAAACATTTGGGTTAGGCTTGGTAAATGATAAGGAGATGGACAGACGATTATTGAGGCCCCGCTGGACCTTCCTCTTGATCCTTTGGGAAACACTAGGCCCAGACCAGGACATAAGACTATTAACCATGGGCCCCCATGCTCCAACCCAAGCCCATTGTTGGTACTTTCCATAATGTTTGAATGATAACGTGGCCTGCCACATGGGAAGGCAAACGGTGAGGCTCAACTTCTCATCGATCTCTGGTACTATAGGGTCGGGTGTTTTGGATTGAGATTGAGACACAACTACTGCCGAGTCATTTTGTATGGCCTGCCGTTGCATCTTTGGTGTCAGAAGCTCTTCCTAGCCATTGGTGATGTGTGTGACGGTTTTCGGGATGTGGAGGCCTTCGAGATGAGCGACACGGAAAGAATTTTGCTCACTGTGGCTGGCGGTGGTGTAATTCCAGCAAGTATCGTTGTGGAGGATGGACGGTGGGCGTTCAGAATTTCGTTATCTGAAGAAATTGCTCCGACCATGGTTCCACTGACTAGGACATGTTCCGGAAAAGGTGATTCGGGCCCATTGGCGGTGTCGGCTAGCATCCCTCGTTTGTCATACAGATATGGAGGTGGGGTTGAACCTAAGCCGAATTTCTAAAAGGTGGAGGTGCAGAACAGCCGAGTTCAAGGTTAGGGACGTGTGAACTGCCATGCGCCGAAGGCGAGTGGTATTGGGAAGGCTGCGTCGGGGACACGTGGTTGGAGGAGAAATGACGCCCGTTATGAGTGGAAGATAGCTGCCCTTCCTCGTGCCGAGTCACGTAATTCTCAGAATT